GGACGACCGGAGTCGCCGGCCGAGGGAGCTCAGGAGTCTCCGGGACCGTTTGCGCCTCCGCCAGGGCCTGGGGTCTGTTTCTTGGAGCCAGGGGCCGGCTCCAACCCCTTCCCCCCGCCCCCCGTCCCCGCCGGGGCTTCCACGCGAGCATCTGGCGGGCTGGATCGGACCCCGGGAGCCAAGGTAGGGGCGGCGAGAGCGCCCCTGGTGGCTCGGCGGTGCTGACCCGCGCGGTGGGCCGGGCCGGGCCTGTGGTCAAGGGGGCGTGGCGCAGTGTCGCGGGGCGCCCTGGCCTTTCCCACCTTGCTGGGGGACATGGGTTTTTCGGGGAGTCCCGACAGTTTACCGAATCAGGCGAGATGGGACCTTAGGACTTTTGCTTCCCGTGTTTGGGAGGGTGGGGCGCAGTGGGAAGCGGGCCGCGGGCTTTTTTTTCGGGGGAGGGGGTTCTGAGTGGGTCACCCAAGTCTTGGGTCCCAGAGAAGGGGGATGGGGGCGGTGTTGGGAGGACTGTGTCCTCAAAGAGGCAAGCAACGGCCATGTCACCCTCACCAGGCTGGCAGGACCCCCCCCCCGTGGTGTCCTTGTGATTCTCCCCTCCTGGGCCTCTTTGAGTGGGGACTTCCGGTAGGATGTTTTGGTAGGTTGTTAGTCATCTTGCTGCACCGAAGTGATACCTATGCCTCCGGGTGACCCCCATCATCTGCATCATGAAACCATTTTTTATTTTTGTTACTTTTGTGCTTATGAACTGGGGTTTGAACTCAGGGCCTGGGTGGCTGTCCCTGAGCTTCCCCTGCCTCCCAAAGCTAGTGCTCTGCCACTTGACACATAGCTCCCCCCCCTTTTTTTTTTTGGCCAGTCCTGGGGCTTGAACTCAGGGCCTGGGCACTGTCCTTGAGCTGCTTTTTTTTTTGTTGTTGTTGTTGCTGCTGTTTGTTTGTTTTGTTCAAGGCTAGCACTCTTACCACATGAGCCACTGCACCAATTCTGGCCTTTTTTGTTTATGTGGTACTGAGGAATTGAACCCAGGACTTCATGCTTGCTAGGCAAGCACTCTACCACTAAGCCACATTTCTAGTCCCTCAGCTCCCCTTTTTGGTAATTAATTAAGAGTCTTACAGACTTTGCTGCCTTGCCTGGCTTCGAACAGCAATTTCAGAGCGTAGCCTCCTGAGTAGCTAGGATTACAGTGTGCAGCATAAATGTCCAGCTTGAAGCCATTTAATAATGTGTAATTTTTTATTAAATTATCGCAAGAATGAGGACAGGCAATTTCAGTTGGTTCTCTCTGGATATTTGTAGTTTTTTGGTGATGGAACTAAGGTTTGAACTCCTGATGTTAAGCTTACTAGGCAAGCCCACTCTCCCACTTGAGCCACACACCCCCATGTGACAGTTCTGGATAGAATCCAAGTTTCCACTTGTATGGCAGTTTGGAGCAGTGCTCAAAGAATGGTCAGCCTGCCTCTAGCTCACCCTGGAGGAGCAATTTTTCAGAACATCGTGTGCCTCACTTGCAAACAAAATTGGAACTTTCTTAGGCCATCTCTGGGGTAATGATTGGCAGGATGGTTGTTATTTTATTGTGTTTTTGTGATGCTGGGGATTGAAGTTCAGGCCTCATGCATCCTAGGCAAGTGCTTTGCTATGGAAGGATGTCCTCAACCCTCTGAATGGTGTTTCTGCTTTTGTTTTTGGATTTTAAAGACTTGGGAAGATTTTTCTCTCTAGTACTAGTCATTGTGAACCAAAGGCTTTAAGTTATCTAGGCAAGTGCAAGTATGCATTTAGGTTAATGCAAGTGCGGCGGTTTACATTTTCAGAGGTTGTGAGTCATATTCCCTGGTAAGTTAGCTAACAGGATGCTCCTTTTCATAGGCTGAGAGAACTCATGGACCTGTTACTTTTCTTCTGAGAGAGAAACCAGCTCACAAAACAAAATGGCGTTTGTTGCAGCACAGGGGGCTACTGTGGTTGACCAAACCACTCTAATGAAAAAATACCTTCAGTTTGTGGCAGCTCTTACTGATGTGAATACACGTGAGTTAATGCTTTTTGTAGCTAAGAAATGCATTAATATGATATGATATTCATCTTAGTTAAAATATAAACCCATGAACATTAATAGTAACATTAACTTTTGTTTTAAAAAAACCAAACCCTTGGTTTTCCTTTCTCTACCATATGGAGAAGCAAAGTGATGAGTATTACTGGCTGGAGCCCAAAGAGGCATGTGTATGTGTGTTCATGCATGCGCGTGTGTGTGTGTGTGTGTGTGTGTGTGTGTGTGCAGTGGATGAATGTATGATGGCTAATTATAGGGAACTTGCTATGTGCCTTCTTTTATTGGGCTGTGACAGTCAAACTGATAAGATCTGATTGCTTCTCTTAAATTACCAAATTAGGAATTCAGGAACATATGTAAACATAATTTCCATTACCTGATGGGTTGTTTTGCTATTTACAGCTGATGAAACAAAGTTAAAAATGATGCAAGAAGTTAGTGAAAATTTTGAGGTATGGGCTTTATGTTTTATATTCTTCTTTTTGAGGTAAACACATATGCTTCTCTATTGCTGTTCTGTCAAGTCTACCAACTCAAAAATCATTTTAACTTACCGTATTTCAAAAATTAAAATTTGGAACTGTGTCTTCATACTAGTGAAAAAGGACTCCAAACTGTGTTGAGGAATGTTGGTTTTGTTATTGTTTTGAAACATGTTTTCATTTCTGCATTACACTTTTTATCAATGTCACATTGTACCAGAGGAAAAATAACTTGAGGGAGGAAGGAGTTTTTGGAGTTCATCCTGGTGGGAGTGTAGGACAGCTCATATGATAACAGGCAGGAAGCAGAGACAGGGAAGGCCTCTGCTAGTCGATGTCCTCTTTTCTCCCACTTTTATTCCATCTAGGCTCCAGCCAATGGAACGGTACTGCCCATATTCAGGGCTCGGCTGTCCCCCTTAGTTACTGTTTCATATATAGATTGTCTCTGGAAATGCTTTCATATTTCAGTGAAGCAAGTTAAACTTTTTTTTTAAAAGGAAAATATCACTTCTAGTGATTCAGAAGCATTTATGACTGATTTCAATTTTTCTTTTTCTCTTTTGATGGTACAGGGCTTTGAATTCAGGGCTCTTTCTGTGTCTGCAGGTGTTCCATGACTTGAACCATTCCCCTAACCCATCATTTCATTAACTCATTAGGGCTAAAGTTTTAGGCAAAGTAATTGGGGGTACCTTCCAAGACAAAGAACAGAAGCCTTGATGTTAGAAATGAATTCATCTGAGCTGGGCGAACCGTGGCTCACGCCTGTAATCCTAGAAACTCAGGAGGCTGAGATCTGGGGATCTCGGTTCAAAGCCAGCCCAGGCAGGAGAGTCCTTGAGACTCTTTTTTTTTTTTGGGGGGGGGGTCCGGTCGTGGGGCCTGAACTCTGGGCCTGGGTGCTGTCCCTCAGCTCTTCAGCTCAAGGCTAGCGCTCTACCACTTGAGCCACAGCACCACTTCCGGCTTTTTTCTTTTTGCTTATGTGGTGCTGAGGAATCGAACCCAGGGCCTCATGCACGCAAGGCAAGCGCTCTACCACTGAGCCACCTTCCCAGCCTCCGTGAGACTCTTATCTCTGGTAAATCACTAGAAAACCGGAAGTGGCACTGTGGCTCAAGTAGTAGAGCGCTCGCCTTGGGCTGAAGAGTGCAGGGACAGTGCCCAAGCCCAGAGTTCAAGCCCCATGACCAACCAAAAAAAAATAACAATAAAAAAATAAATTCATCTGGATCAAAAAAACTGGTTTTTGTTGAGTCAATGAGTTGAAATACTTCCATACTAACTTTCTTTTTTGGAGATGGGGTCTTGAAATGTAGCCAAGGTTGACCTCAAACTGGTGATTCTCCTGCCTCAACCTCTTGAGTTCTGGGATTCCTTGGCTTGGCCTGGAGAAGATACTAGAAAGCTCTGTCATTGACAGTTACTATGGGGTTATCCTTTGGATCTCCTTGACTTTTTTTTGTGTGTGCTTGGATCTGGGTGCTGTATCTGAGCTTTTTCGCTTAAGGCTGGTGCTCTACCTCTTGAGCCACAGCTCCACTTCTGGCTTCTTGAGGGTTAGTTGGAGATAAGAGTTTCACTGGCTTTTCTGCTCAGGCTGGCTTTGGACCCTGACATTCAGATCTCAGCATTCTGAGTAGCGAGGATTACAGGACTGAGCCACATCTCTGGTTTCCCTGAGACTTAGTTTTAGTGCTGGACACTGTATAGACTTCTCCCCTTAGAATGAGGAAGCTTGCCTGCACAAGCTTTCACAGTTGATAAACTACAACCTGTGCTTGTAGCAATCCCTAATGAAGACCAGTCACCATTGCTCCAGTGCCTTTAGATGAATCTGGAACCAATATGTATCTTCCTTATCTAGGATGAACCTTGTAATGGAGTTTTCAGCTCCTCTGTCCTTGATGGGGAGCTGGGACAGGCCCAGGTCTCCTGCTGGTTTGGTTTCTCCACAGTTTTTTTTTTTTTTTTTGGGTCTGGTCATGGGCCCTGAACTCTGGGCCTGGGCAGCTCTTCAGCTCAAGGCTAGCGCTCTACCACTTGAGCCACAGTGTCACTTCTGGCTTTTTTCTTTTTGCTTATGTGGTGCTGAGGAATCAAACCCAGGGCCTCATGCATGCAAGGCAAGTGCTCTACCATTGAGTCACCTTCCCAGCCCTCTCCATAGTTTTATGCCTTCCTGTCACCATCTTCGTGGTGCTTGATTCTCTTCCTCTCTTCAGGATCTGGTCTCTTCCTTGTCACTCTTCTACTCAAGCATGGAATAAAATGATCGATGTTCTAATCTGCCATTTTGTTCTGCCTCCTTCCAATATTTGTAATTTTATCAGTGAATTTTTGTATTTAGATCCTTGAATCTGATTTCTGAAGTACCAGTCATCTCAATTTATTTAAATTATTTTATCACAAAAACATCTGAAAATACCCAGATAGTCCTTTGAGATTACTATAAGTTGTGAAATTGAAATGAAAATAAATACATATTACTTACTGGGATGATCTTTCATTTTTGCTTGATTAGAATGTAACATCATCTCCTCAATATTCAACATTCCTGGAACACATCATCCCTCGATTTCTTACATTTCTCCAAGATGGCGAAGTCCAGTTTCTTCAGGAGAAACCAGCCCAGGTAATATGTGATCCAGAGTTGCAGTGAGAGAAAAGTGTCATGCTATATGTTTGTAAGCATTTATAAATTAAGACAACTCAGAAAACATGGTCATTATTTAAGAATGAAAGAGGTTTTATTTGAGCATGATGAGTCTTGTCTGTAAGCAGAGATCAGGAGAAACTTACTTGTGGCCAGCAAAAAGTGAGAACTCCATCTCAACCAATAAAATCCAGGCATCTGTGACCCAGTTGAATAGAAGATAAATAGGCAGAAGAATCCTTGTTCATGTGGGCAAAATATGAGACCTTATCAAAAAAATAAAGGGCTTTGGCATGACTCAAGTGATACAGTGATTCCACTCCCCCATCACTCCCCAGTGAGAACTTTGAGAATGAAAGAGGTTTTGTCAGTTCATGCTTTGTCCAAGACTGTTGCCTCCTCAGCTAAGTGTCTTAGTTTTATTTATATATCACATATATCTATATCTATGTATCTCTACATTGTTTATTATAGACCATTAAGACAAACACTAAAGAAAGAAACATGGGGAGCGGGGAGGATTGGGGGGGGAGGATGGGAAGGGATGGGAAGGGGAAACAAAGGAGGAGGCTACAATGCTTGATTAGAAATGTACTCATTGTCTTGCCCATGTAATTGTAACCCCTCTGTACAGTATTTTCACAATAAAAATTAAAAAAGAAACATGGTTTAATGATATCACCTTTTATAGGCAATTTCAATACTTTTAATACCTGGACAGTTTTTTATACCATTCCTCACTTTGGTCTCCCTATGTTGATCATCTTAAAACAGTTCTCTTATACCACTTTTTTTTGGTAAATCAGGTCCTCAGGCTTGCTATTTGCTAGGTTGGCACTCTACTACTTGGGTCATGTCTTTAGTACTGCTTTTTTGTTGTTTCAAGATGGAGTCTAGCAAATTTTTCTGCCTGTGTTGGTTGAACTATGATCCTCCAAATATCAGCCTTTTAAGTTTCTAGGATTATAAATTAGAGCCGCTGGTGCCCATCAACGTATATCTCCTAAGAAGCATTTTTGAAAATTACCCTAACACTAGTGAAAGTTCATTCCTATGACATGTTTTTATGTTGTACCAGTTCAAGAATTTACATATTTACTTGTCAGCTCCACAGACAGAATCTGTGGAAGCTTGGTACAAATTTACTCCATAGACCCAAACTAACAGGAGATTGCATTATGGGAGATAGACTGAGGTACAAAGGGACACCTCAAGCTATGTTCAGTTTGTGTTTTGCTCTTTCATCTTCATTCTACTCCATATTCACACTGGTGACAGTATGAAATACTGGTAAGTTGTGGAAGAGAAAAAGTTGCCAGGCATGGTAGCAACCACCTGTAATTTCAGAACATGGGAAGCAGAGGTAGGATCTCAAGTTTGAGATTATCCTGGTGAGATTATACATGGTGAGACACTGTCTCCAAAAAAAGGGAATATTTGACTTAGCTAGGTATACAGTTGTGGAAATACTGAAAGAAAATAACAAATTCCAGTACATTTAATTACATTTTTTATTAGCTTTAATTAGTTAGAAGGGGTGGGAGATTTCATTATTACATTTCTATATGTTTGCGATCTATCCCAAATAGCCTGGATTCATTTAAATATTCAAGATGCTTAAAAATTACATCCATTTTGTTGTATGGTGGTTGCTATTGCTAGATACTTAGAACTGCATGCATAACATATGTAAAAAGTGATACAATTAATTTGGAACTTTTTCTTTTCTCACCAGCAACTTCGGAAGCTAGTGCTTGAAATAATTCATAGAATACCAACCAACGAGCATCTTCGTCCTCACACAAAAAATGTTTTGTCAGTCATGTTTCGCTTTTTAGAGGTAAGCTTTAGGAATAAAGTCTCTCTATATAGCCAGATTCAGAGCTTTCAGAGATTTTGTTACTGGAAAATCCAGTATTATACAGTAGTCTGCCCTCCACTAATTCTGATTCCTGTAAGTAACATTTTTTTTTCTTAGTGCAGTTTTCCCCCGGGGTATTAAGAAAAGAACAAAAAACTTTAAAAGATTTAGCTAGGTACTGGTATCTCATGCCTGTAATCCTAGTTACTCAGGAGGCTGAGATCTGAGGATCAAAGTTCAAAGCCAGCTGGTGGGAAAGTCTGAGACTTTTATCTGCAGTTAACTATAGAAAGCTGAAGGGAGCTGTGGCTTAAGTGGTAGAGCACTAGCCTTGAGCACAAAAACTCAGGGACAGTGCCCATGCCCAGAATTCAAGTCCCAGGACCAGCACCAAAAAAAAAAGATTAATTTGTTAAAAATGTTTAATTTTACCGGGCACCAGTGACTCACACCTGTAATCCTTCCTACTCAGGAGGTTGAGATCTGAGGATCACAGTTCAAAGCCAGCCCAGGCAGGAAAGTCCGGGAGACTCATCTCCAATAAACCACCAGAAAACTGAAAGAGGTGCTTTGGCTTAAGTGGTAAAGCGCTAGCCTTGAGCTGAAGAGCTGAGAGACAGTGCACAGGCCCAGAGTTCAAGCCCTATGACCAACTAACAAGAAAGTTTAGAAAGATGAATTGACTGATGATAATTTTTCTAAATTACGTAGTTTGAAACTACAGATTTGCAGTCCACAGACAGGCCTAGGCTTGTTTGCCTGGTCTTTTGTGTTGTATGGACCTTTCTCACTACTCCACTTTAGTGGGTGCTCAGAAGGAAGACCTTCTGCTCTTGGGAGATCCATTTGTTTCCTTTTAAGCTGGTCTCTAAAGTTGTTTTCCTGTCATCTTAGTCTTAATATGTTTAGAATTCTATTGTATCATTGGGCCTTCTTGGCAAGAGAAGCTTTCCAAAACAGAAATTGGATTCGAGTGTTGGCTCCATCATTTCTTAGCTATACCCTGATAGCCACATTGTTTACCTTCTGTGAGGCTTTTAACCTCATAGGTAAAATGTGGTTGGAACCCCTCCCATAGCCTAAAGTGTTCAGACAGGGTCCTGTGCATTGTGGGTTCTGATCTGGTAATTGTTCTTTTTTGGCATTGGCAGTACAGATTGAGTATTCCTAACCCAAAGCTTTTGGATTTTCAAATATTTGTATATACATAATGAAATATTTTAGCATCATAGTCCAAATCTAAATATGGAATTCACTTACAAATCATTTACACTTAATATACGTAGCTCAAAGGTAATTTTATATCCTACTTTTAATGTGTTTGTGTTTTGACTGGCCCAGCATATGAGGTCAGGTGTGGACTGTTCACTTATGGTATCATGTGGGTGCTCAAAGAACCTTTCAGGTTTAGGTGTTTTTGGCTTAGGGATGTTCAGCCTGTTTTTTGAAGCAGCGAACACTGTCAATTTGGCCTTGAAAACACTAGTTCAAGGTGTAACTTGCCAATTATGCCAGTTCAACCATCTCAGGGTTATTACATAGAGTTGGCTGACAGGATGTCCTGCATGTAGGTGGTCCATCGATGCCCATGGCACTTCCTGTCTGGGAAAGCTTTGTTCTGGGAGTTAGGAATTTTTAGCAAATCAAAATGGGAAGTGTGTATATAGAAAATATTTAGAAAATTAGTCTTTGATCTTAAGATTAAAACATCTTTGAAATCATAACTTCTTTTCATGTTTATTTTAAAGACGGAAAATGAAGAAAATGTTCTTATTTGTCTAAGAATAATTATTGAACTACACAAACAGTTCAGACCACCGATCACACAAGAAGTAAGTTACTTATCCTGGTAGCATTTATCAAGTGTTAAGTTCCTTCTGCTTATGAATTTTAAAGTTGACTGGACACTGTAGAAAGCAAAGTCTAGGCACTTCTTTGTAGGTTTGCCAATTCATTTATTTTGAATGTTTATGCCAGTATTTTGCTAAATTTGTTCATGCTATTGTATTTACATATGAGATGTATTGGAAGTCTCCAGTCATTTTCTGTTTGAGAAGGAAAGAGTTAAGATGGGAGTTGTGAAGTCATAGCTGGGGTGGACATTAGCTCTGCACCTTAGAGTGGTATTTGGTGAGGTCATAGCCTTGAGAATCTTCTCTGTAATATGGGGTGATTACAGTATATCCTCAAAATGTATGAGGAATTTATTACAGTTAATTTATAAGAGCTTATTAATTTTATAAAAGTTGAAACCCGAAAGTGGCGCTCGCCTTGAGCTGAAGAGCGCAGGGACAACACCCAAGCCCAGAGTTCAAGCCCCACAACTGACCAAAAAACAAAACAAAAAGTTGAAACCCAGTTATTGCCATCTATTTTCAGTAAGCATAGTGTATTCACCATAATTATGAACATTTCTTCTCATAGGATAGATAACCTTTGTAAATTTTTGCTGTAGATTACTTGGAAGTTAAGCATAAATATGATGGAGAATTTCTGCTTGGCACTATTTTCCTTTTCTCTCTCTCTATATATATATATGCACACTTCTGTATAATTGTGACAATATTGCTTGTAAAATTTTTATGTCATAATGACTTCATTTCACTTTATAAGTATTTTCCCAATCATAGAAAAATTACTAAAAAAATTTTTTGGCAACACTTGGGATTAAACTAGGCCTCAAACTTGCTAGGAATGTACTCTACCACTTGAGCCCAACCCTAAAAATTCCTTATAAAATTAATGGTATATATTATTTTTTCCTACAGGTTTCCTTATTTCTGGATATTTAAAGTGTTTTTATTTTCTTACTAGTACTAGATATCTTTGTTTATAATTCAAGTTAACTCAATGAGTCAGTCAAATGTGTCGATGCTTTAGTTCTAATATATTGTCAAGATGATTTCTAGAAAGGGTTCAGCAATTTTTGGTTGCTTAGTATGAGGTTCTCCTTCTTACTATATTCTTTAGAGTACTGTGTGTTCATTTTTTTTGGGGGGGGGTTCAGTTGTGGGGCTTGAACTCTGGGCCTGGGC